TATCTAGGTTCTCTCTCTCAAACTTCATCTTCTTCCTCCTTCCCTCCTCCGTGCTCATCCTTTTTCTTTCTTCTTCTTATTCTTTCTCTCTCTCTTCGCCCTTCTTCTTCCTCTCTCGAACCCAAATCTAGGTTTCAAGACATAAATTAACATATGAAGAAGTTGATGATAATAAGAAAAGCAATACAAATCATTCCATTATATTAAATATAAGCGACAAAGCCATTTTCCAACCTCACCTATCGTAAAGTAAAAACAAAAAAAGAAAAGGAAAACACCCGAAAATCTGATAAACTACTAACAAAGTTAATACCAAAAACTACAAAATTTGATGAATCTCCAACTTCAAATTCCAAACAAAAAGAACCCAAATCCGATCACTAAAAGTAGAGCTCCGGATCAAGCTTGTCTCCTCAAATTCATAAACCCAGAGAAGGAATCACAGAAATAGAGCAAGATCTTCAAACACAGTGGAAGAATTTTACTAGTCTCAAGAGCCAGAGCGAAATATGAGTTCTTTCTCTTCTCAGAAGCCTTGAGACTCAAATACCCAGCAAGAATGAGCACCAATCCTGCTCCCCCACCACCAACAAGTGATACCATGCTTCTTTTCCTGGGAAGTATTGCATAAACTCAACATCGTTCTCCAGTTTGGTCATCGTCTCCGACGCTAGGACAACCTCCACATTGACGGCTTCGTTTCTTTCCCTCCCAAGAAAGGCTGAGATCTTGCCGTCGAACTTATTGGCTTTGTGGAGCAAATCTGCTCCCCAGCTCAAATCCCAAGATAGAAGCTCCCCTGCTGGAGCAATTATCAGAATGCTCTGTATCACATTCCCGAAGTAAAACGTGTCCAGCCGTGGCTCGAGCCTAGGCCTGCAGTTCACAACCATTTCTAAACATCGTCATTTTGGAAGGATCGTGAAACAAAAATCGTGCATCTTTCTACCAAATGGGTAATTGCTGGGAAAATCTAAACTTGGGTTTTGCAAATCAAATGGAAAATCAAAGAAAGAGAGAATAAGAAGAAGATGAAGTTTGAGAGAGAACCCAAGTCTGGGTTTGCATAGGGAAGAGAAAATGGAAGGTAAAGGAGAGAGAAAATAAAAGAGGAAAAAGAAATTTACTGTGAGAGAAAAAAAAATTATTATTTTTTAATTAAATGAAAATTTCAACTCATAAAAATGATGATTTTTTTTTTCATCTCATTAGTTAAGCATAAAAAGAATTGATTTGCTAGCAAATTAACGTGTCACCTGTCATTTAACTAACGAAAGAACTGTTTTGATATCGAAAATAAAAATTTAAAAATAAATTTGATATTTTTTAAAGTTAAAAGATAATTTTGGTACCAAATTAAAAAGTTAAAGGGCCAAAATGATCCATAAACCATATTTTATTAATTATTAACTTTTTTTTTTTTAAACAGTTTTGTCATGAACAAGTTCAAAACCCGCCCACGGGATGTACTTTTCAGTGGCCGGAGGGGACGTATTTTTCAGTGGCTCTAGTCACGAAACCACACTGGCCAAGTGCAATTATTAACTGTTTTTAATAATTAAATCAAATAAAATTAATATTTTTTAATCAGGATTATATAATCTTTGTTAATAAGTTGCCATATGCAGACCTCCATTGATGTACTTATTTTGAGTTATTAACACCATACTCTCTTTATCCAAAAATGAAAAAACCCCATACCCCTAGTACCATACCGGGGTCATGCATTTTAGTAGCCTGGCAAAAGCCTAAAAAAGAATGTCTTCCAGAAGCGTCTTGGAAGACTTCCTACCGTTAGTTAATGCAGAAAATAGCTATCCGATAGTCTTTAAGTACCTCAAAACTGAAACGAAGTTTAAACAAAACATGATCTGCATAAAAGAAAGCAAAGCCACACAAAAAACATCTTACCGCACAAAACATCCACAACCTCTTTACTAGCAAACATACTGATAATTCACTACTAGGAGAGACGAGATAGCTTAAAAAGTTTTAAGAGTCTCCTGATAGTTGAGATGGGTCAAACTTCGAAACTAGTACGATGATGCTTATTGCAAACCGTGCAGCTATCAAAGAAGTTAGTAAGGTTCCACTGGTGCTCTGAACTTTGCCCCAGCATAGACTGCTGCAGATCCTAGTTCTTCTTCTATCCTGAGAAGCTGCGATAAAAAGATTTTAACAGTCAGCTCACTCCAAGGACCAGACCCCAACAATAAGTGCTACAGTTGGAAAAGAGCATAATGCTTTGAAACTGAGAGCAGAAACAAGTAGGGGTTTACCTGGTTGTACTTAGCAAGACGTTCTGATCTGCAAGGAGCACCAGTCTTGATCTGACCCTGTTTCACAAATGACATAAGAAATTAATCGACCTCATAAAGGTTAAGTAGCACAAACATGTTTCTCATATATTCCGCAGTTCTTTGTTGTTTTACTAAATGAGTCAATAATTTAAGGTCATTCCCTAAAACTAATCTAATCAAACTCATTGAAAAGAGTAGATTCAGATTGGACAGAGTAGAGAGGGAACTGCTCCTAAAATAACAGAATCTCTTGAGACTATTTTCTCAATGGTCACCATGGAAAAACTAAGCAGGTCCATCTAAAATCCATTATACAAGATAAATGAAAATCCTGAGAAGAAAAAGTTGGACCAAAAATGAACTACAATAAGAAAAACTAGCATAATACTCACTGTTGCCAACCCAACCGAAAGGTCTGCAATGAAGGTATCCTCAGTTTCACCACTACATTGGACAACAAACACATTATTCGAGAGATGCTTCTAAAAACACATAGTAAAAAGGATGACAGTTCAAAAGATGGAGAACAATATACATCAAGCTAAAGAATAATGCAGGGAAACAGTACCTTCGGTGGCTTGCCATGACACCCCAACCAGCATGCTTAGACATCTTCACAGCTTGAATACTCTCAGTGACAGAACCAATTTGATTCACCTAACAGATCATAGTTTCTAGAGTATCAATATCAAGTTCACTTTGAATTCTGTGCAATTCAAGCAACAAAACATTGACAAACAACAAAATTTTAACTATAACAAAATGCACACGGCACAACTAGCTCAGAAAGAGGTTGAGTACTACCTTCAAGAGCAGGGCATTGCAAGTCTTCTCCTTAATTGCTTTCTCCACACGCTGCAGCACACATAAAGAACAGAGCATATAAATAACAAAGCATATAAGAGCCTCACAACATTAAATTTATGATCTTTTCAACCCAATAAAATTGTAGTTACCTTAGGGTTTGTGACTAGGAGATCATCACCAACAATCTGAACCTCCTCACCAATTTCACATGTCAACTTTGCATAGTGCTCCCAATCATCCTGATCAAATGGGTCCTCAATTGAGACAATTGGATAGTCAGTCACAAAAGACTTGTAAACATTCTTCAAACTGTCTCCTGAAATTTTCTGTGATCCATCATTGTTCTGCAGCATGAATGAAACATAGTCATAAGTCAAATAAAGTGATCCCCACCAACGTTTGATCTATCAGACATGAGCCAAATAAGGATCTTAACATACCTCTTCCTTGAAATTCAAGTCATAGGTTTTATCATTGATATCGTAGAACTCAGAAGCAGCAACATCCATGCCAATAACAACCTGCCAAGGCAAGCACCAATTTATAGTGATCTTTCAACTGTAGAAAATGAATTTAAATATACAAGGCCATAGTAGACTAAAATACCAAATAAATCAGGATGTACCTTTCCAGTATATCCGGCTTTAGCTATAGCTGTCTTTAGCAGCTCAAGGCCCTCTTTATTTTCCTGCAAAACAAACATGCAAGTGAATGGATGATGTCTGATTCAGAACTGATTTCTGTTTTCCTTTACACATTGATTAGGGAATAATTAACTCTATATCAACTCAGAATATTGACCTTTTAGGGTCTCAGAGCATTATGATACCTAAGCACATATTCTTAGGGAAAACAGTTTTTTGTTCTTAAAAAAAAATTAAGCAACTGACCTGAATGTTTGGAGCAAAGCCACCTTCATCACCAACATTGGTAGCATCCTGTCCATACTTCTTCTTAATAACAGCCTGCAATACAACATACAAGAAAAGTTAAATTGTGCAGGACCAAAAGACAAAAATTGAAAGTACCCTGGGGAGAATAAAAAAGGAAGGATAAAGACAAGCCACCTTCAGGTGATGATACACCTCTACGCCCATCTTCATGGCTTCTTTGAAGGAAGATGCTCCAACAGGTAGAATCATGAATTCCTACACGAGGGACATGAATTAGCACTTCAATAGGACAGAGAACATCCAGTGCAAAAAGTCTTTATTGCATAACATTACCTGCATCGCCAGTTTATTCCCAGCATGTGAACCTCCATTGATAACATTGAATGCAGGTACAGGCAGGACGAGATTCTTGTTACCAGCAAGATTGGCAATGTGCTGTAATTTAAAGAAATTAAAACGGTCAATCTCCATAAAGGAAACATTAATGAGAGGAGGTCCACAAAACAACATGATAAATACCTGATACAGGGGAATCTTTTTCACCATAGCACCTGCTTTACAAACAGCAAGAGAAACAGCCAATATAGCATTTGCTCCGAGCTGAAACAATCAACAATTAGCAAAATTAAAAAAGCAGGAAAAATCCCCAAAAGACACAGGGGAAAAGGAATATTTATATACCTTCTCTTTGCACCATCCCCATTCATTTACAGTTCCATCAAGCTGTTGTACCATGAAATTATCGATTTCAGCCTGCTTGGTTGGGTCCTGTAATTGCAGAACAATTGCAAACACAAATCAATCTCAAAATGCAGGGTCAAAAAATTAAAGTTATAACTTAGAATTCTCAGGATACCTTGCCAATCAAAGCAGGTCCAATGATGGTATTCACATTTTCCACAGCCTGAACATCATTAAAGGTTAAGAACATAAGAATTATTACAACTGCCTACTGCATACAAATATTTACAGTATCCCAATAGCAATAACAGATTATCATTAAGAACATAATGCAGTTTATAGAATCTCAATTACAAGCACATAGGAAAAGATTCAACAATTTCAAAAGGTTACTATTCACACTTGCATCCAGAAAGAGAAATTAGTTAAATTAGCATACCTTTAGCACACCTTTCCCAAGATAGTCAGATCCTCCATCTCTCAATTCCAAAGCTTCATAGATACCTACAAAGACAATCAAACATGACTAAATCACCACATTGTTTACATAACACAAGATTATTTCAGAAAAAAAGAAAAAAAGAAAAAAAAGAATCGGAAGACAAAATCAAAGAAACAGAGGTAAAGCAATTTTGCACCAGTTGAAGCACCGCTGGGCACAGCAGCTCTGGCGACGCTCCCGTCCGAGAGAACAACATCAACCTGTTCATCAGTCGACATTCATCAGCACACCACGCACGCATTTTCTCAGTAGCCAAACAGCACCTTACATAGTAACTCAAGAGCCAAACAAACCACAAAAGAACGAAGAAGACGACTGAGAAGACCAACGGAAAACATGGAAATATAGAATGAAACTTACTTCAACGGTAGGGTTTCCACGGCTGTCGAAGATCTGACGGGCTTTCACAGCCTTGATCGTGGCCATCTCGTCCGACGCAAGCTAGGTTCTGCGACGTACTGATTTAGTAGGCAGGGAGGAAGAGTGAGGGGAGCAGAAGTGAATTTCGACGGGAAGTTTTAGGGAATAAATGTAAATCGAGGCCGTTGATTTCGGAAAGTTAGTGATGAAGTGGACGGTGGTGATGTGTTTTCGTGGGCATCACGAGGTGATCATTTGGGTTCAAGGGTATTGAAAAGGAATATGCTTCGGTCTCTACCAGCAAATTGTTTACAGAAGTGGAAGGATTTTAATTTTATTTAAATAAAATTTTGGATTTTAATTTTATAAATAAAAAAATAAATGTTACGAAAAGTTTTTTTTTTAATGGATTAAATACAATGCGATTTGATTTTAAATCAACTAATTTTAATTTGATTATCAAATAAGAAGTTAATACTGAAAATAGTAATAATAATAATGGATTGTATCGTGAAAAGATGTGATTCGCGCAGACAGCGGGAGCGGGCGCGTGCGCGGGCCCGGGCGCCCATGGTTCTTCTTAAAACTGGGGTCAGGGTCCAAGTCCACACCAGCGGTTTTGGTTTAAGACGGGGTGCTGTTGCATGTGGCATCCTTTGAACATTTAGAGTAATGACGTGCGTCCCTGAACGTCCCAATTGTCAACAGTTTCAGCTTCCAGGCTAGAACTTTCAGCCTGAGTGGGGCGGCCAGGAATTTAGAAACGGCATAATTATTCCCTCTCATATATATATATATATATATATATATTTCATTTAAAGTATAAAATATTAATTGTTTGATAAAAGTTAAACCTTTAATATTAGCACTTGATCTTTTGAGCCTGTCAGCTTGAGATGTATTTTCCCGACAGATTTCGAGTCTATCTTTGATAATTTGTTCAAAAAAAAAAACCTTTAATATTAAAATCTTTTTTTATCAAATTATTTTTATTTTGCAATTCAAATCAAGTTAAACTGTAAAACAAGATTTTTTAATTATAATACAATATAAGATTATTAATTCATCATTATTATTTAGCTAGTACTCTAAACATTTTCTAAAAGACCTTATTTGAGCTGGTAAGTAGCTAATGGTAGACGTTGTTTATAATTCAAAAACACTATACAAAGTCAAATTCTTTTACATTCAAGCGCACACAAAGTTTTCAAGGCCGCCAACATCTATAGACCTAGGAATGTCTCTGATGCAAAATTGCATTTCTTCTATCAAAAGCATCAGTCGGGTAGAAAAAAACACGTTATGTGTGCATTCTAACTCGGAGTCTGGAAAAACGAAATTATACCATATTCACTAGCAACGATCCTATTATCATTCATAAAAACAAAATCTTCTTGACTTTCCCGAAAAATATCTCTCTCAAGAATACCATTTGGTACAAAGGTTTTACTCAACTAGCAAAAGTGAAAAACTGAAGGGAATTTTTCAAACACATCAAAACTGATTAGTAATGAAATGAGGAAAATCAGCGTTCAGCGAACATCAATCAACTCAACGTCAAACTCGAGCCATGAATTTGGTGGTATCTTCCCACCAGCACCCTGAGACCCATATCTGCAAGAAAAAGTTGAACATAAGACCCTAAACAGATATCAATAAATTCGGATGCCTCTTTTGACAGAGGCTAAGAAAATTTAAAAATTCTCATGAATGTATAACGTGATTAACAAAAAGGTGGAACAAAATCATATTTCTAGTCATGTAAAGGGTTTCATACCCCATTGATGGTGGAATTGTGAGCTTTCTTTTATCCCCAATACGCATTCCTGAGGTTCAATATGTAGGAAAGAGATAAATCAATGCTTCAAAAATGGACAAATGAATATAGGTGATCAAAAATAATAAAATTTTTAATAATTCAGAAAATTACCTTCAACCCCAACATCCCATCCTTTAATCACTTGTCCTACACCTACAAGACCAAAGTAAAATAATTAAATGCTATTAACTCATTAAGTTCTTGTCATCCTTGAGTATTAGTTGAACAGTACCTAGGCGGAATTTGAAGGGTGCCTTTCCCACATTAGAGTCAAATATTTTTCCGTTCTTCTTGAGCCTGCCAATGTAGCGGACACTAACCTGAAATCAAAGAACAGATTTTGAATCAAACAAATTTATGTTTACTAGAAGATAAAAGATTTTAGCCAACTCCCAATAATGGTACACCCACATAATATTGTAATGTGTATCTCATATAGATGTCTAATTAAAACTTCTAAACAACCAACCAACTCAGAGCTGTGCAAGCAATTTAAAAACCTGTTTTCCACGAGATGCCCGTTTGCCATCTGGTTTTCCCATCACTAGCTCTTCAATGACCAACCCATTTGGAAATGTTCTCACTTGAGAGGGGTTGACTGCAGATTGCTTCTCCTCAGTCTTCGAAGTTGAAGTGTTCTTATCTCCACTCGCTGAAACAGTCTGATTTGCACTATCACCTCCCTCACTTTCCTGGTTCTTCTTCTTCTTCTTTTTCTTTTTCTTCTTCTCAGAAAGATTTTCGCTAGGGATGCTATTTGTGTCAGTGACAACCCTGCAAAGTTTGTAGATAAATATACTAAATTAAATAAAAAAAAAGCTTATAAAACATGTTAGCATCAGGCAGCAATGGTGTATGTCAGCATTTTAGTCCACACACACAAACAGACATGAAAATGCACATTACCTCTTCTTTTAACAAGTGCATTTGGAAAGGCTAATTATCCTTGCACATGCACACAAACACATGCACTATATCCATGTTAATTTGCATTCATATCTAAGACACTTAAAACACAAAGCACAGATGTGCAAGTCTAGAGAACATATTGTGTTCAATTAAGGTCCTCTTATCCAAAACATTCAAACCATCAAAGAGCAGTACTTACTTGTTACTTGATGGCTTCTGATCAGTTTCATTTTCAACAGGTGAAATCTGAATCTTGTCATTAATTTCTACCTCCTGGGGCTGGATTTTATCCTGTGATGTGCCATTCATGTTATCTGTACCCTTTTCTTTTTGCTTTTTCTTCTTTTTCTTCCTAACAAAGTTTTCAGAACAGATGTAGACATATTAGAAGGATACAACGATAATGCAGTACATACATAACAGAACCAACCATTTATGAATTTGACTTCGAGAAGAACTTCTAATGAGAAAGCTATCTAACCTTTCTTGTTGGTCATCTTCAACAGTACTTTTAACCTTTCTTTTTTTATCAGTGCCTTGAGCCTCAATATGTGAAGCAGAAACAGGAAAGCCATCTTCATCTTCACTTTCCAAAACTGGCTCACCTGTAGCTTTCCTGACAACAAGTTGATGCTCAGAGTTGCTTTTACCCTCATAATCGTTTGATTGTTTCTTTTTCTTTTCTCTTGTAGATTCAACCTTCCCATTTGCAGGCTTCTCATCATCCACTATCTCCTCAATTACAACTATCATAAGAAAGAAGACAAAAAATTATGGAGTTGAGGGCTCCCATCCATCATATGGAGAAACTTGTACATGTAAAGCAGGCAAAGATTTAAGAAGCATGGACAGCTTATCTACTCAATTAAAATAATGTAGAAGTCTAGTACTGATATTAGAGGGGTGTTTGAAATAATAAACTTTTTACAAATTCCACATGTAAATGAATTTTATTTACTAAATTTGCAACATATGTAATGCAAAAAGGAAGTCAAGTGGCAGAAGTCTGTATCAGCAATCACCAAAAGCACAATCCAAAAGTAAAATACCTCCACTTTTGGGGGCACTTGAGTTCAAAACGTGAAAATCATCAAGACCACCGTCATCATCATCAAAGTCACCATACTCATCTTCAATATCATAATCAGAAGACTCATCTGAGTCAATCTCAGCAAATTCTTCCCCATACGAGTCACTTAAATATGTGTAAAGGAGAACATAAAGCACACAAAACAACTCAATCGCATTTCTCAAAAGTTAAAAGTCATGAAATATAAAAAGTGAAATCAGTTGGAACATAAGAGGATACGAATCATATTCATCTCGAAGGTGATCACCATCATCACCAACAAAGTAACCAGAGAGGTGGATGCTTCTTGGGCCTATTACTGAGAAGGCTACCACATCATCTTCTTCTCCAAATTCAAGACTCAATGAGCAAGACTCATTCTTATTTGGTAATAAAGAACACAAGAAAATGGGATTCTTGTGTCCCACAGAACACTGAAGTATGCTCCTCTCTGAAGATGAACCAAGGCCTAACGTCGCCTGCCAATGGTAAAACATAGATAAAAAAGAGTTTAACAAATAATCCAAGAAGAACTAACCAAAAACCCTCCTCTCTAAATATACATCTTTATCCATCCTTATCTGGTAAAATCATATAAATAAAATCAAGCGTCTCAATTTCATTTTGACCTAGCCCGAAAGTTTCGAAAAACACACCTGAGTTATGTGAAGCGTTCCTGGCACATTATCTGAGTGATAAGGGTGTGGCTTTCCTGGTTTCACTTCAATTCCTAATATATAAATCGAGAAAAACAGATAACAATCAATAAATTGACGAAGGACCTGATACTTTGAAGGGAAAGAATTTAAGAACGTTGAATTTCATCATCTTCGTCGAATTATTTTCTTTCTTTTCCTGCGGTTTCTCAGCAACCAAACATAATGATAGATGAATTCAAACACGAGGATATGAGGAAATGAAATGTAGAATTAATCGAAGAACTTACCCCAGAAACCCATTTCTTACTCCCTGAAAATCGGTTGTGTCTCAGTGTGCCACTTCCTAGTTCCTGACTTATAAACCCAAGCTAATAAACCCTAGTGCCGTTTTTAAATTCACAGCTACCCACGCTGTGACGGAAAATGCGTACAACCCAATTCATTTGGTGACACGTGACGAAAGAGAATAATTTTCTTTTCCTGATTCTTATGGGGTCATTTTTGCAAGAAATTGCAGTCTATTGAAACAAAAAAAAATGTCCAGATTGAGTTCAGATGTGTATCCGTACATCTTTGGGCTCAAGTGTCTGCAAAACTCCAGTGTTTTTTTTTTTTTAAGACACTTTCACAGTTTAAATCAATAATAATTTATAAATTTTAAAGAGAGAAGTTATTAAGGAAAAAAGTACCAATGGTAGGTAAAAATATTTATAATCTTTATTTATAACACTTACACATTTCATATTTCTGCCAGTCCACATGCTGGTAATTGGTTGATTCTTGGTACTTAAAAGGTTTTTTCCTAAGCGAAAATAATTGGTATATTTTGTAAAATTTTATATTTCATTATATATTAAAAATTTTTGTTATTTATATCATTAAAATTAATGATTTTTATTAATTACATTATTAAAATTAATGATTCTTATTATTTATACCATTAAAACTAATAATTTTTATTAATATATAATGAAATGTGTAACTATATAAAGTATATATATATATCATTTTCCTTTTCTAAAATAAACTTGGAATCGAGCTCATAATCTGTTACAAGTATTGAGTTATTATCCCAATAGAATCCATGCTATATTACAATAATTTTTTTTTCTAGTTAGACAATTAATATATCCTAAATCAGTTTTCAGATCTCAAGATCAATTTTTTTTGGGATAATTTTAAAGATGTATTTTATTTATTAGTCTGGTACATTTAACAAAAATTAATTTTTAAAAGTTTTTCAAATTTTGAAATTAAACTTAGTTTACCAAATAACACTTAATTACATATGAATTTAATGTTTGGTTTTTATTCTTGGAGGTTATTGTTACGCGTTAAAGTGTTAATGACAAACTAAAATGATTTTTTTTCTCATATATAATTTTTTTTATATGCCCATATATAATTACCATGTCATTTAAATTTTATATATAATATAAAATAGCACATTAGTTTATCAAGCGGAGTTGGATAGGAGTTAAGCATATCATTACATTGGATCAAACTAGAACTTGGGCTGATCCGTTACCCCCATCGGCAATCATTACATTGGATCAAACTCAGGGCCTTAAGCGTATGGACCCTTGAGTCCGTCCACGCTGAGCCCAACGTACAATTCCATAGTAGTTGATGTGAAAAGGTACATTACTTTCTCCTTAACCAGTCGTGCCATGATGACACGTAATAGAATTTTTTTTTTTTTTTGAACGGATTACATTGGGGTGAAAAGATGTTAACCCTAACCCAATGCACTTTTACGTGATTTAGAACCATCGGGATCACAAAATCAAGTGCAACACGTAATAAAAATTTTTCGTAATTTCTCTTTGCAGAAATCATAGTGGAATTGTTCATGAATAGAAGAAGCTGTTAGAGCTCGGAATCAAGGAATCACCCAAACTAATTTAATTACAATCTACATAATGCCCCATGTGCCGAGTGAAGAACCAACCTACAAAATGTGTACTATTACGGCACAATTCTAAATCCACACTTAATTAAGGAAAAGAGATAAATAAAGATGTCAACAATAGCTCAAACAATAGCTTAGATAGTTATTAATGATTAAGGTAATTTAATGATAAGATAGTTATTAATGATTAAGGTAATTTAATGATAAAAGATTATAAATTTAAATTATATAATATGTAAGTAAGATATGTTAAGAGATAAAAAAAATATTTTTTATTTAATTTTTTGGTACATCTAATAATAATAGGTTATATAAAAAATGATAATTTTTCATTTTTTCTTAAATTCTTCTTCATTTAATTCAAGATTCGAATTTAATATTTTTAACTTAAAATCTCGAACTCCTAATTATTGAATTATCCTCTTAAGAGTAAGAGTTGTCCTTTATTATATATATATAATTTAAAATAAAAAAATGATAACTTTTCATTTTTTTCTTAAATTCTTCTTCATTTGACTCAAAACTTGAATTTGAAATTTTCAATTTAAAATCTCAGATTTTCAACTTAAAATCTTAAACTTTTGATTGTTGAATTATCCTCTTAAGAGTAAGAGTTGTCCTTTATTATATATATAACTTAAAATACAAAAAAATTAGACAATATAATAATTAACTTAGTTAAATAAGTTATTTTAAACTACAATTAATTATATACACATGCATACGAACACTCAACACATGTATACATATGTACATGCATACATCCCCACTCGTGCACACTTCATTAATGCAATGTACATATATGTACATTTTAGATATGCTAGATTAAATTTGAAGGAGTGGTCATACATACAAAATGTTCCTTCAAAGATTGCATTTCCCGCGGCAGCAGAATCTTCAAATTCAGAACTTGTTGCCATATATGCATATATTTTCTTTCTTCTGACCTGCCTCTTAATTTAATTAATCCTTCCATGATTCTTCATATTTTCTTAGTGGTTTCCTGTAGAAAATCATGCACCTTTTGGCCAGGCCATAACTACAAAGAGTGCATCATATTCCCCGTGCTAAGAAAAATCAGGGCAAGTGGACCCTATCATACGTAGATAAACAGACCATAAAGATAGAAAAAGATTAAGACATGTTTGGGATAGGAAGCATCTTGATCCGATCGAAGATTTCCTTGCTTGATTTTTTTCAGGCATAATATACAGGCATCGTCATGTAGTTAATTGGGTACAAATGAAATTTTTATGTTTGCATCTTTATTCATTGTACATGAATGAAATCTTGTGCCAGGCTACAAGGGAAAGGATTTCTAGTAATCTTATAATTCGATACAAATTTATAACCAATCTTTGCCATTTTTTTTTTTGATATTAATTTCTTGGTTTTCAATAATTATATTGGTTCTGACTAATCTGAAATCAAACTGTATCAAATCTCATAAGAGAAAAACTCTTATGAAATGCTTTTAGCGTTTGTTTCTCTATTCACAAGATATTGAAGGGGAATAGATAGCAAAGTTAAACAAGATGTTCAAACACATTGTATATGGCTATCATTACATGATACTTCAAAAACGACCAATTGAGCTAGCCGGATTGTTCAGTGAAAATAAAATTAAGAACTCTAGATTTTTCTTCAATCCTAAAGTTTCTATATATGCCTGAACCACCATACGTACAATAGGAGTTACCATGTACAAACCTGCACCTTGTTTTAATTTGCATCATTCTAGTTATCTTCATTAAATCCCAAGTTAATTTTCATATTAAAATTCTCTCCTTTTTGTCGGCTTTGTTCACAGAAGGAACGTGCAGCCTCTTTTTCTTTTGCCAAAGATATCAACACAATTCAATGCATTGCCGTTACTTAATTGTTCTGATTTCATTTGAATATTTTCTGTCCCTCTAACGTACAACACTCCAGCTAAATTGATTTTAGTACAGGCCATCTTCGAGCCAGAGAATCTCTGATATCATATTCTATAATTAATCTCCTTCGTAGTTTTTAAACACATGTCTATCAGTATCACCTAATTCTAATCATCAACCTTTCCCATTATATATACGAATCATTCTAAACCTGATCACCAAATCATCATATGATCCATCTCATTCAAGCATAGACTTGAACACCTCTACGAATCTAAAAATTTTGTTGATAGAACAATGGCATGTTGGTCTGCAGAGAATGCCACCAAAGCCTACCTCAAAACATTAAAAATGGTAAGTGTTTTTTTCCTTCTTGTATCTGTTTATTTCGAAAATCAAATCAGCTTGATCAAATTGTTAGAATCATTCATCTGTACGTATGTGATTTGCAATAAACGATGTAAATCAAACTGCTATTTAAAGTTTTTCTGTTTGATCTTTACGCAGGGGCAAAGAGGCAACGAACCAAATGTAAATGAATTTGTTTCAGCACTAGCAGCTGGGAACAATGCACAGCTAATGGTCGTGGCATGTGCCGAGGCCGCGAACGCCACCTCTACTATCCTAGCACTGGTGGCTGCAGCTCACCAAACAAGAGGACGCGTGGTTTGTTTCCTTCCCGGAGAGGAACAGCTCCGCCTGTTAGAGAAAGTCCTGGGACACGATGTCTACCGTGTCGAATTTGTTATAGGGGAAGCTCAGAATCTACTATTGACCCATTACAGGGCGGCCGATTTTGTGCTCATTGATTGCAATTTGGAGAACCACCAGGGGATTCTCAGAGCGGTGCAGGAAAGCTGTAGGAGGCGATTTAATGGTGCTGTTGTTGTGGGGTACAATGCATTTTCAGAAGGATCATGGCGGTCCGGTGGGTCTAAGACTCAGCTGCTACCGATTGGAAACGGGCTGCTGGTGACGAGAATTACTGGGAGTGGAAGTACCGGCACCGGGAATGTAGGGAAGAAGAGTCAGTGGATTGTTAGGGTAGATAAATGTACTGGGGAAGAGCATGTGTTTAGAGTCAGATTTCCAAAAGGGAAAGAAATTCCGGCTTGAGTTTTCAATCTAATGTCTCTGGTTTTGGAATTAGAACGTTGCAGAGTCTTGTTAAATAGAACATTTATGTTACAAAGTCTTAAATGTAAATAAAGAGATATTACATATAATATAAGCTTAAATTTATGAAACATTAGGAAACTATCTATCGTTTTTTGAGTAAATACAGATCTCTCACTTTGAAGGAAAGAGATTACTATCAAGCCATGGGTCTTGGCAGGATTGATAGCGATATTGTTTCTGTTTGAGTTTCTTAATTATACAATTATTTTTCTTAGTAAAGTATTAAAGTTTGTCCATTTCAAAATAAATTTAAACTTCTTCAAACTTATTTTTCGTTAAAGTTAGTACTCTCCCTTGAAAGAGAAAGGTTTATCCTTTGATTGATTGGGAGCCAAGGAAAAAACTAAAGAAAAGTAAAAGGGAGTAGAGCCTTTTATTTTGCAGTTTACAATTTAAATAGTAAAATATAAATTATTAATATTAATAAACTCATTCTCCACCTAATAGATTAAGTTTTTAGTTCAATAAAATGGGCAATTATTTTGGAGAAAATAATTCGGGTTTTTTTTTTTTTAAATGTCAAAAGAGTTTGCCAAGCAAATAGAGAAGTTGAAATTACAATTTTGTGGAAAATACTATTCTCGTTGATACAGAGATTTTGATGCAGACTTGCAGGTGGGAAATTTTATTATGTCCGGAGTGTTTACCAATGGAGTTTTAAAGTGAGGGAGATGTTTAACAGATGATGATTTTAGAACAGCTCAAACATAACAGGACCAGATAGATTTTGCAGAGAAGTAGCTTTCTGCATTTTAATACCAACTCTCTCAATGTTTAGAAGTTGATATTTAATTCTTGGTCCAGAGGAAACGTGAGGCGTTGCTTCATTTTTCAGAGGTAGCTAAGGTAGAGAAAAATAATGCAGGGTTTGCAGAGTTATTAATTAATTTGAATCTCCAAGGGCCATGCTAATGTCCCTCTTATTTTGGACATAACAGCTAATTTATGAATATTTGGGGAATTGTGTAGAGCCTGAATATTCAAAACAGTCTTGAATGCCTTATTGCCTTCAAAAATTGATTAAACAAGGCCTGAAGCCTCTCAGTAGCGATCAGGGCTATACATTTAAGACCAAAGAAAACATAGAGATGAACAGAAGCATAGGAAAGCAAGCCTTAGAGACCTAAATTCAACCCTTAAGACAGCGGAACAATCCCTTCCAATTCAGTGTCATGGATCATTGATTAAGGTCGTTCACTTCTTGTGATTCGGTGTCATGGATCATTGATTAAGGTCGTTCACTTCTTGTGAGTGACGTGTTCGAACTCCATAAATCTAATTTCTTCTTTCTCCACTTATATATGTGTCTAATTTTAATTTGTTCAAAAAAGAAAAAAGAAAAAAGAAAAAAAACCTTAAGACAGTGGGTAGAGACTAAGGAAAAGGGATGATTATTCTTGTTGTATAATTCATGTACTTAAAAAAAAGGCATTGGAGATGAAATGAATTTGAGTTACAAATTACAACCGTTCTGCTGAACTAATGGTCTTAAATACACCTTTTTACAAATTTCCCAAAGGGCTGAGTTGATTGTAGATGAATTTATTAACACAAGGCACAACATTGACAAGGCCACTACGGTAAGTCCTCACTCCTCAGCAAGAGGACATAAGCACAAAACATCAAAACCCCTAGCCCTTCGGAATCGGCGAGTGTTTGGTGATACACTCATCTCCAACTTACGTTCACCCACTTGAAATTTTGCTCTGGCAAGGATTGAAGTGTGACTAGAGGCAACTACTACAGTTGCCAAGCTCCTGCACGACTGCTTGCATGGATGGTCTTTCGATGGGAGACTCATGAGTGCAAAGGAAGGCAATTTGTGCAAGTTTAGCTGCTTCATATTCAAAGAACTTGCCGCAAAGGTTGGAATCAATAAAATCTTGGAATTTGCATGAATCAGGTCCAAGACGTACCAAACTAGTGACATTTCGCTTCCCTGAGAGGATTTGGAAAACAAGAACTCCAAATGCATAAACATCACTCTTCTCAGTGAACCGGCCTGTGCTGGCATACTCGGGTGCCAGGTAGCCCATGGCAGCACTAGCCTTGAGTGCCGAGAAAACAATGTCATTGGTAAGAAGGTTGTGCAGACTAGAACCAGAAAGCAATGGGTTGAGTCGCTGATCAATGAGCACTTTTTCGGCTGAAAGGTTTTGATGAACCAGAGCAGGTTTGTTTACTTTGTATGCGTGCAAATATGCAATACCTGCTCAAGAAAAATGAAGGAGCAACTATTAAACGTTAGTCAAGAACAAACTACATAAGATAGCAGATTAGCAGCACTCCCCCTAAATTACCCACCTTAATTAATTTTACCAGTAATTTTCTCTAACATAACAGATACTTTACAAGAAAATTTAAGTTAATCTCCATGTGTTTGCTATGATTATGTTTTGCAATGATTAAGCAACATTGGATGTACCAACAAAAGAAAAATGATTATGCAACATTGGATCGAATAATCTTCTCACCAGCTAAAACAAAAAGCTAGCTACCAATAATGAGAAGGCTGTACTGACCTTTTGCAATTCCCTTGATGATGGAAACTCTTGTGGACCATTCAAGGACATGGCCATCAACACCCTTCACATCGAGATAGCTCAGCAAATTTCCGTTGGGGACAAAGTCATAAATGAGAAAACACTCACCCCGAGCCCTGGAACAACAAAATCCTCTCAACCTCACTAAATTTTCATGACTCAATGAAGCCAAGATATTCAGTCCCTTCAAGAATTCAGATTCCTCTGATTTACAGCTAGCCTTACCAATACACTTAATAGCAACCGCAGACCCATCTCTCAGAATCCCTTTATAGGTTGCAGAATAATTACTCTTACCCAATAAATTTAACTCATAAAAGTACTGAGTAGCCGTCTCCACCTCTTCCAAATTGAACCTGAAGCTATGGAAGACATCTTGGGCAACCCCACTAAAAGTCCTGCCATCAGCCAAAGGATCCCACCCATTACCATACTCAAGGCTAATGAGTGGAGAGCCATACTTTCTATATGGCACCTTGGCTTGGTCGACACTAAGTCGGCTATCAGAAGTTTCAAATGAGCTTGCAAGCTTTTGTTTTCTGCGCCGGTATTGTGTGAATGCCAGGGTTCCTATTGCTGAAAGTGCAACAGCTAAGACAATCATGCCGACGACAACAGAAGCTTGTCGAGATTTTGATGATTTCGAGCATCCAGTTTGATTACAAGGCAACGGTATATTTGCTGTCTCCGGTATTTCTTTTGAGGGAAGGCCAGTTGCTCCTGTTCCATAGGGTTCAGGCCTAGGATTGACATGATCTGAAACATTGCATGGTCTTAGGGATGAAAACCCGGAACCACATAGATTCGGATTGTTTTCGAACAGAAACCCTTCATTTAGTCTATTAAGTGCTGCATCAATAAATGAAAGATGAAGAATATTAACTTAATCTCTTCCATGAAATCAAGATGAACAATTTTTGAACCAAAGTCATAGAGAAAGGATTACCAAGAGGAACATTTCCGGAGAGAGAATTGTTACGGACATCTAAAACTTCAAGTGCAGGAGCATCTGCTAGTTTGGTCGGAATTGAGCCAAAAAGGCTATTGAAGCTCAAATCAAGCCTCATTACCCTACCCAAATCCCCCAAACTTGCTGGGATTGCACCAGTGAGTTGATTGGATTGGAGAGCAAGAACAGTGAGCTTCTTCAGGAACCCCAACTGTGTGGGTATGCTTCCAGTGAACTGATTATAGCAAAGCTGCAACACTGCCAGAGCATATGCAACACAAAAGATAGAGATATCAAACATGGGAAAACTTTTCAAGCTTTTCTTAAGGAAACCCATTTGAGTAAAGCTGCAGATGCACATATACTAGGGAACAAGATTGGAACTTTTCTTTCTTAAGCTCAAAATCTAAATTCGGAAAGAACCATACTCTGTACACTGCAGAGGAGGACATATGGGAAACCAAAAGGAGAAAAAAAGTTAACAAATGCTAACAAACATTTGAGTAAATATATTTCAAGATTTATGTGCATTGGCCTTTGAGAAAAAAACATGGCATTCATTTGAAGCAGATACTGTCCATCTATAAATTTTCTCACAATCCAAACAGACTCAAACATATTTGAAATCATCAAACAACCCAAATATTGAAGATTCACGTTTCACAAAGAGCAAACTCACAAGAGAGATGGTGAAAGTGTAGCGCTAACCTTGCAAGCTGTCCATGTTACCAATCTCAGGAGGAATTTCCCCAGAGAGATTGTTCATATTCAAATACAAATCACTGAGCTTAGTCAAGTTCGCAATCTCCCTTGGTATCTCCCCGTACAAGGAGTTGTAATGCAAGTAAAGCCCTGACAAGCTCTTAAGACCAGCAACTGCCGGCGACAGCTTGCCGGAGAGCCTCTTCCCCTGCAAAGAAATGTTGGCCACTTGACCCTTGTCATTGCAACCCACACCTTCAAACGTTCCATCACATGGATCGCCATTGACGGTCCATGAAGAAAGGTGCTCGTTTTTTGGGTCTAACGCAGCTTTCATGTCGAGGAGAGCTCTGAGGTCGGAGTTCCCCTGAAGACACCGGAGGGTCGTGAAGAGAACGAGGAGAGAAAGCAGAAATGCTGTAAAACTGAAACCCATTTTTCCTTTCTTTTGGTTTCTCTGCTTCCTTCGACTGATTTCGGCTCTAAAATGTTGGCTGGGGCAGAGTCTGGAGAGTCAAGAAGTCCCGTGACCCAACAATGGGACCCATCAAATACGCAAACACATGATGACACGTGGCTGTTTACGGTTAGTCTGTTACGGCACGAAGGACACTCGTGATGTCGCCGTACTATATATGCTGCGTAATTCCCGCATAGGTGGTTAAGTTTTGAATTCACAAGGCTGAGATCGGTTGTGGGTAATCTCACTGTAGACCTGATACTTCTCAAATTCTACTGGTTTATTGATAAAATTTTGGCAAAACCATAAGTTAAGCCCCTGAACGAACCCCAGAATCGCAATTAAACCCCTAGACTTTAATTGATGCAGTTAAGCCCTTGAACTCTGGGATCGAAGCAATTAAGCCCTTCTTCTTACGCCACTTAACTGCCGTTTGGGATTGCTCGCCTGACTTAACTGCCGTTGAG